TCTTGGTGACCCCATGAACTGTAGCCCGCCGGGCTCCTCTGTCCATGGGATTTCCCAGGCAAGAATGCTAGAGTGGGTTGCCATTTCCTTCTCCAGGGAGTCTTCCCGACCCGGGGATCAAACTCAAGTCTCCTGCACTGCAGGTGGACTTTAGTGACTGTATTATAGAGTTAGTATTCCCAAGTAAACAAGAGTTATACCAACAGAGCCAAAACAGCCTGGCAAAGAAGTTGAAAGAGACACAAGATGGGAAAGAGATTCTAATAGAAAATGCAAAGTAACTTACACATTTTAGCATGAACAATAGTGAAAACCCACCAGACACCATGGATAAATGGTACGAACGTGTAGTTGATGGACTAAAAGAGCCACCTCTGCCTCTTTCTCAGGAGGGGCTGGGACAGCAAACGTCACCAAACGAGGGACACGCCAAGAGAAAACGGGCGCCAGGACACAAGGGCTCCCCTCCTCCTGGGCAGATGTGGAGGGAACTCCTGGGAATCCAGGTGGCCTGGGGCGGCCGCTCTGGACAGACAGCCGGCCAGCTGGACAGGAGGGCAGACGGCCCAGGAAAAATGCAGCGTGGAACCAGTGCGTCTCCGACGTGCCCCCCAGGCGGGGGTCAGTCTGCGTTGGGGGAGCTTTTGTGAACTGGAAAAGCATAGAAAACTGAGCCAACAGACCCCTGAAGCCCCGTATCACAGAGCAACCTCTCTTAGTCTGGGCCGTGGCTCAGTGGTGAAGAGCGTCTCCATAGTCGTCACAGTGTGAACACCGGTGTGGAGTCAGTTCAACTGTGATACGAAGGTCGGGTGGGGAGGCCCAGAGTGGTGTGTGGGGAGGGAGGGTGGCCCCCACGGGCAAGCCTTCAGCTCCGGCGGGAGGCTCCCGTGGTCCTTCGAGGTGGCGCCGGCTCCTCCCAGGGCGGGAGGTGAGAGAGCCGTCTGGCTGGACTTCCCTTCCCTTCCCTTCTCTGGACACTGCGTGCGGGACATGGAGTCCGGGGGGAGGGCAGCCCGACCGCAGGGAGGAGTCTGACCTCAGAGAGGACACCGTCACACTTTAAACCCCACTTAGGGTTGAACCTTCTTGTGGGAAGTGGGAAAGGAAGCCCTCTCTGGCACTATGGCGTGGGTCCCGTCTTATGTTAGTGAGGACAGCAGCAAGCGCTGTGTTGTTAACGTGCAGATTGAATCATGGTGCCACTGAAGGCAAGGTCTTGGGAAATCAATGGGGCTTAATTAAAGCTGCTCCTTGAATTCTATTAGCATGGCTCCAGTGGTCACACGCAGACCTGACAATGAAAGGTGCGGAGGGCTCTGCGTGGAGGCCCTGGCCCTCGCGGGGTCCCCACGGCCAAGGCCAGGGTCCTCCAGTCACAGAAATGTGAAGCCAGAGCTGGCTGCTTCTTTCAGGGAGATCACGAGAGTCCCTGGGACGTGGCCATGTGGCTGGGCACTCGGGGTGCGCCCCAGCCTCCCGGCTGTCCCCACACAGGTCCCATGTTAGAGACCTGGGATGTGCGGGAGCCCCCACGTTCAAGCCACAACGTTTGCCCAGCTTTGCCAGCCCACGCACGGACCCTTCTTATCAGTCAGGTCAGAGTACAGAGGGGGTGGAGGTGGGGAGCCGAGGAAACCCCGTCCCTTACGGGAACCCTTCCCAGAGGCCTGTGGCCACGAGCCCAGGGGGATGGTCAGGGGTCTGGGTGGCTGGGGCTGCCGTGGAGCGGGCTTCCCCGCCTGGACCAGCGGCCTCCTGGGCAGAGTGTTCTTTGCTATGGGGGCTGTCCTGTGCATCCCAGCCGCTGTCCGCTAGAGGCCAAGCACACTCACCCCACTTGGAACGACCAGAGGTGTCTCTAGACACCATTAAAGGTTGAGTACACTGCTCTGTAGCTGGGTAAAGTCTGCCTGGCTTAGAAGTGAGCAGGGAATCCCCATGGCCGATCCGGGTTCACGGACATATTCCCTAAATGGCCAGTGGCTGTGATCAGGAAAGCTTGCCCACCTGCAACAGGGGATCCATGAGGAGTGGACACGCTTAGACCTTTCCAGTGTAGCGTGGGGTGAGAATCTTGGGGATGGTGAGCTTGTGCGGGCCCCTCTGGCCCCCCTCTGTGCTCAGCCGTGGTCAGTGCCTGGCCGGGTCTCTGGGGGCGGTGAGCTTGGCCTAAGGGCTTCAGGGCACAGAGCAGAGAGAGGCCTAGGAGGCAGGGGCCTGGCTAAAGGGTTAGCCTAGGCCTCCAGCTCTCTGGTTAAGCTCCCGTCAACAGCGCTTCCTCCATCAGACATTGTTACGGTGGAAAATCAGAGGGGCTGGCAAATAACTTGTGAAATCTATCAGATTAATAGCCACATGAAAGCCTAGCTTGCAAACAAAGTTCCTTTAGAGGGAGAAGGCAATGCACCCCACTCCAGTCCTCTTGCCTGGAAAATCCCATGGACAGAGGAGCCTGGTGGGCTGCAGTCCATGGGGTCGCGAAGAGTTGGACTCGACTGAGCGACTTCACTTTCACTTTTCACTTTCATGCACTGGAGAAGGAAATGGCAGCCCACTCCAGTGTTCTTGCCTGGAGAATCCCAGGGATGGGAGCCTGGTGGGCTGCCGTCTATGGGGTCGCAGAGAGTTGGACCCGACTGAAGCGCCTTAGCAGCAGCAGCAGCAAGTTTTAGCTGTCATATTCAGAAGGTTTCCAGGAGGCCAGATGCTGAGGAGTCATACCGTTTCCAGTCTGAGCAACCCATCTTCATCAAATCTGCACCGCACTGAGTTACTTTAAATATTATTTCCCGGCTGAAAGTATTGTGAAAATTGTTTACTTCCTTCATGCTTTAATCACATTTCATAATGTTCGGGTGGATGTACTGGGGTAAAGGCCCTGTTTGCTCAGATGTGGAGACAGGAGATGAGTGCTTCCAGTGCCTTCCTTGACTCCAGTGAAGAACAGGGAGGGCATCTTTAACAATAAGATTGATCCATGCTATGGGTTGAAAGCCTGTAATAAGCCAAAGCAGGCGGAAGGTATTTGCAATGCATGAAACAGCAAAGAATACAGAAGAACAAATCAACAGTGACTACAGATGGCCCAATGGGAAGGGGGCTGAATATGGGAACAGGAGAGCAGGTCCAGGGGTGGGTGAGGGTGTGGCAGGTGCCCCATCCCACCAGCATCGAGGGATTGTACCTGTGGCCTGTGGTCCCCAGCTCAGGACCCCCTTGCTGAGCCCCTGGCTGCTGCCCACCCTGGCCCATACTCACAGGTGCCTGGAGGACCTCCTGAAGCCAAGCAGAAGACCTCAACCGGGGCCCGCTGGGGTGGATGACAAGCGGGGAGGAGCGGCTGATGGGCCGGGCCCATCTCCCTGTCTCCCCATCTCCCTGTCTCCAGGAGGGGCAGTTCTGTGTGCAAGCCGCACCCTGGAGCGCCCGCAGGTCCTCGGAGGGGCCGCCCGCAGCCGAGACAGCCGCTCATCTTCCACCCCTCCTGCTTCCCGCGCTTCCCACTCCTGCCGCATCACAAGAACACCCATCCCAGGCTCTGCTTCAGGGACACCTGCCCCAAGACACACAGTGCAGCTTCAGCAAACCCGTTAGGAGGGCTCTGATCCAAAAGCAGGAACGAGGGTGTGGAGAAATGGGTGCCCTAGTACAGTGCAGGTGGGAGCAGAAAATGGTGCAGCTGCTGTGGAAAACAGTCTGCAGGCTCCTCAGAACTAAACATGGATCCACCTTGGGACCAGCAATCCCACTTTCGGGCACAGGCCCAGAGGAGGTGAGAACAGGGTCTGGAGCAGACACTTGCACCTGCTGGTCCACAGCAGCCAAAAGTGAAAGCATCCAAGTGTCCATGGACAGAAAATGGGTAAACAAGATGAGGCCCATCCACACGAGGGGATATCACCCCGTCTTTAAAAGGAAGGAAATCCTGACACCAGCTATGACAGAGATGAACCTTGCAAACATTATGCTAAGTGACATAAGCCAGTCACGAAGGGTCAAGCACGTATGCTTACACTTGTGTGAGGTCCCTAGGGTCGTCAAACCCTGGAGGAGGAAATGGCAGCCCATTCCAGTATGGCCTGCCGAGTTCCACGGACAGAGGGACTTGGCGGCCTTCAGTCCATGGGGTCGCAGAGTCGGACATGATTGAGAGGCTAATCACAGCACAGCACAGGGTTGTCAAAGTCTTAGGGACAGAGTAGGATGGGGTGGGGTGAGGGGAGTTGGTGTTTAACGGGACAGAGTTTCGGTCTGGGGAGGTGGACGGAAGTCTGGAGATGGTGGTGGTAATGACCGCACCAAGCGTGAAGGCACCTAACATGACTGAACTGTACACTTAAAAGTGGTTAAAGTGGTAAACGTTGTGTTATACATATACCATAAACTAAATGCCTATCTCCTCCTCAACTCCTGTGTTCAAACTCAAACCTCAGTGTGATGGTGTTAGGAGGTGGGGTCTTCAGGAATGGGTTACTGCCCTAATAACAGGCAGATCCCCAGGCAGCTCCCTCATCCCCCTCCCCATGTGAGGACCCCAGAGGGAGGACGGCTGCCCATCCAGGGACCAGGAAGTGGGTCCTCACCAGACCAGGGAGCCTTCTGTCTTCATCTTGGATGCCCAGCCTCAGAGCTGTGACAAATGCTGTTGTTTATAAGCCCCCAGGCTGTGCTGCTCTGTTACAGAAGCCAGGGCAGGCCAAGAGAGTGTATTTTACCACAGTTAAGAGTCTTACATATTAATAAAACCCCTTCTGCTGCGATCAGTTTACTGAATGACTGGGATTTACAAGGCCGACATAAGGCTGTGGGCAGAGGGGCGTCAGATACCCTGGATGACCTTGACAGGGGGCTGCCCACAGACGGATGCTCACCTTGAGAGAAAAGACAGAGGAGACCGAAAGGTGAGCAAATAGGCAGGGAGGAGACTGCAGTCCCTGAGGGTCAGAGACCCCCAACCCTGGGCTGCGGAGACGCGGTGAAGACGCGTCCCAGGGAGGATGCGCCCGGTGAGGACACGCCCCCCGCGAGGACACGCCCCGGTGGAGGACACGCCCCCGCGAGGACACGCCCCCCGTGAGGACACGCCCAGGTGAGGACCCGCCCCAGTGAGGGCGGACAGAGGGGCAGGCGAGGGGCCTCCTCCCCCAGAAGACCCTTCCTCAGCCCCGCCATCCCGCCCCTTCGCCTGACTCCAGCTCTCAGTTTGGAGGTCGCTTCCTTGAAGAGTGCTCCTTGGGCACTTGATTGGCGTTCTGATGTCCATCTTTCCCTGCAGCTGCTGGGGAACCACTACCGGCGTCTCCGGCCTGACCCCGGCTCTCTCCCCTCTGTCCACTAACAATCGTCCCTGGCCTTGCCCCTGGCTCTTTCCCCTCTGTTTATTAACAACCATCCCTGACTTTGCCCCTGACTCTGTCCTAACAGTCAGTGGTCTGCAGTTGTCAGCTGGGTAATGAGTGTCCACCCGGGACACCATCAGCCTAGAAACACTTGGTGACCCCAAATAGGAGAGCGGCGGTCCCAGGCCCCCCCGTCCATCCCACCACCAAACACCCTGACTTTGGGGGCTGGGTGAGGGCTCATAGGAGGGCAGAGGGTGGAGTGACTGATTTGACATTATATTATATCCATGGATCAGAAGTTCTTAGGCCCCATTTCAAAGACTCACCCAATATCTCTGGTTAACATTTATCAGAAAACCTTCATAGATCTTGTTGTTTTCACTAGTATCACATAGAATAAACGAAACACAGGTCTTAAAGGTTAGCAGTTGCCTTTCTGTGACACGGAGCCTTATGCAGGCAGCTGGGCAGCAGCGTCCAGGCGGGAGCCAGAGCCCCAGCTCCTGAGTCCTCACCTCCTTCGAGGCATCGCCTGTGGCAGGCATCACGGGTCACGTCGGGGTGGCAGACATGAGGGCCTTCCTCTGGAGCCATCGTGGAAAGAGAACTCTTTCAGATCCATCAGAAAACATTAGTTCTCCAGAAAGACCTCTGAGAAGTAATGGGACAGTGGAAAGATAACAGGACCAGTGAGAGTGTGACGCATCGCTTTTAGGACAAGGAAGGCGTAGCTCTGTACCCGTCACCCCGGCAGGCTGGCCTGAGGCTGGTCCTGCTGCCCAGGAGTGGAGCATGCTCAGGGCCACCTGTGGAGATAGGGAAACGGGGTTCCACAGGCGTTTGTCTTTAGAAAGGGCTTCCCAGGTGGCTCGGTGGTAAAGAATCCACTGGCAATGCAGGAGATGTGGGTTCAATCCCTGGGTTAGGAAGATCCCCTGGAGAAGAGAATGGCAACCCACTCCAGTGTTTTTGCCTGGAGAATCCCATGGACAGAGGAGCCTGGCCGGCTATGGTCCATGGGGTCACACAGAGTTGGACACGACAGAGCAACTAACACTTTCACTCTGTCCTGAGAAAGCCATGAAGAGGAATTGAGCAGACCAGTAGTCAAAGATCTGTAACACTGTCCACACAATAAAAGCTTGGAAAGAGTTACACGAGGGATGAGGGAAACTATGGTATAACCACACAAGGGCACTGAATGCCCTAGGGGCCATGATGCACATGCAGCCGACTGACTTGGGAAGTTGCTCAGAACACATGCTAAGAGGAGAAACGCTCTTATGGAACAAAATGCAGAGTAGGGAATTATAAGAATGGAGCACCCAGTTTATTAAAGGGATGGAAATGAGAGCCTGGGTAAACACACCCCCAAACCAGTGGTGATAACCTGGGGGTCAGGGCAGCACATGTTTATATCATCATTTTATTCTCTTTCTTAGGGGTTGTTGTAACACAGCAAGCATGAGTGAGGTTCAAACTCAAACAGATACTGTCAGATGGCGGAGTAGAAGGATGTATGCACATCTTCTCCTCTAAGAACACCAAAACCACAGCTAGTTGCCAGCAACCATCCACAGGAGGATGTTAGAACCCACCAAAAAAATGATACCCCAAGTCCAAGGACAAAGGAGAAGCTGCAGTGAGACATAGGACGGGGCGCGATCACGTTAAAATCAAATCCCATTCCCACCAGATGGGCGGCCCACAAGCTGGCAAACAGTAACACCAAGAGGTTCTCTCTCTGTTGCGAAGATCCTAGGCCCCACATCAAGTTTTCCAACCTGGGATCTGGCAAAGGGACTGGGGGTTCCCCAGGGAGTCTGACTTTGAGGGACAGTGGGATCTGATAGACAGAGCGTTTTACTAATTCTATGTCTGTGGGTTGGAGCATTTAGTGGAGAAGCCCTGCAGAGGCTGAGTTGCCAGGACGTTTAAACTCTGAGCAGAGAAAGTGGGGAGGAGACAGGCTTCTATGTGGAGTCTTTGTTGGTGACTCTCAGAACGTCAGAGTTTCCGTGGCCCCTGGAGAGACCACCCTGTACCAACACCCCGTGTGTGCTGGACACACGTCTGTGTGGGGAAGCTGGTGGGTAGGACGCTGCCGGCTCTCCCAAGTGCGTGGTCATCTCCGTACATGCTGGAGGGTGACCTCCCAGGTCATTAGGACACTGGCCCAGGCTATGTGGAAACCAGGCAAAGATATCTGTGAGAGACCAAGACCAGTCTGGTGTGAATTTAAACACTAGGGTCTCACTGGCCAATCAGAACACAAGTCCAGCATCCAGCCTCATCAGTCCACAGAGCACAACCAGATATAACACCCCTGTGGCCCCGCCAGCCCACCAAGCCCCACGCCCACCTCCTGCCCGGGGAGGATGTGGATGCAGCCTTATGAACGGCCGCAGGAAGGTCAGCTGGTGCGACCCCTGGGTAAACAGACCGTTGTGTCCCCGGCAACTCCACACCTGGGAGTCCACGCTGTGGAAACAGCTCACGGGAACCAAGATGCTCGTGGCAAATACCCGCCTGGAGAGATGAGCTGGCAACTAGTTTATCTGGATCAAGTGGGGACTATTCCTTATGAGAGAGTCACCTGCTTAGCCTGAAAACTTCAACTATGCCAGACTCACAGCTTCTTCCGAAACGTCTTCCCTCACACACTGATTTGAGCTCTTGCGTATTAAAGAGGGCGTCCCTGGTGGCTCAGTCGGTAAGGAATCTGCCTGCAAAGCAGGAGACCCGGATTCAGTCCCTGGGTTGGGAAGATTCCCCGGAGAAAGAAATGGCAACCCGCTCCAGTATTCTTGCCTGGAGAACCCCATGGACAGAGGAGCCTGATGGGCTGCAGTCCATGGAATTGCAAGACTCAGACACCACTTAGCAGCTAAACCAAACCAGATTAAAAAGAAGTGTCTATTTTCAGTGTCATATTTTCTCCAGGCTTGGCCCTCAGGCTTTCACTTAACACCTGCAAGTTGGAAAGGCATTTGTGTTTAAGTTAGTCGACTACCACAGACTTGGGGAGCTGTGTGAAACGTCTATCTTTCTCCTTCTTGTCCCACAGTCCTCCCTACTCCCCCCAGGCTGGACCAGATTCAGAGGCAGCATCCCCGACAAGATCTCCCTTTCAGCTCCTTCAGTGGCTACATTTACTGCATTTCATTCTTCTACTTTTTTCTCTGCAAAACCCTGTGAGGTAAAAAATAAAATTTCCAGTTTTGTTCTAAGTAACTAACTGGTTATTTCAGTATCCTTTATTATAGCATCACTTATTGACTAAATTCTCTCCTCCATGTCGACTTAGGGCTGCTTCTGCATCAGAGATCGAGTCTCCTGGGTACCAGTTTCAGTTTCAGGATCATCTGTTCTGTCCCATTGCCCTAGAAGTTGACTTTCATGCCAATTTCACACAAGGTTCCTTACTGTGCTATTATAATGCTCTAATATCTGCCTCGATGGACCTGAGTCTGAGCAAGCTCCGGGAGTTAGTGATGGACAAGGAAGCCTGGTGTGCTGCAGTCCACGGGGTCTCAAAGAGTCAGGCACAACTGAGCGACTGAACTGAATTGAACATCTGCTGGGGCTGGTCGCTCTTCATGCCTCTTCCTGAAAAAGTAATTATTATTTTAAAACAGAAATTATAAATAAGCTTATATAATTGACAGCATTGCTTTGAAGGCCACGTGAAAGTTCACTGAGATAATTGTAGAATTTTGCTGTGGTTGTTCAGTCGCTCAGTCGTGTCTGACTCTTTGTGGCCCCATGGATTACAGCACGCCAGGCTTCCCTGTCCTTCACTGTCTCCCAGAACCTGCTCAAATTCATGTCCATTGAGTAGATGATGCCATCCAACTATCTCATCCTCTGTCGTCCCCTTCTCCTGCCCTCAATCTTTACCAGCATCAGGGTCTTTTCTGATGAGTCGGCTCTTACCATCAGGCGGCCAAAACATTGGCTGCTGCAGGGTTAGGGGCACTGGCTGGGAGGCATGGCATGTTGGCATAAATCCTCTTGGAGGAACTTGCTATGAGCCCTACCATAGAGCCTCTATGGCCTTAGGAAGCATCACTATGAACAAAACTAGTGGAGGTGAAGGAATTTCAGCTGAGCTATTTCAAATCCTAAAAGATGACTCAATATGCCAGCAAATTTGGAAAACTCAGCAGTGACCACAAGACTGGAAAAGGTCAGTTTTCATTCCAATCCCTAAGAAAGGCAACCCCAAAGAATGCTCAAATTATTGTACAATTGCACGCATCTCACACGCTAGTAAAGTAATGCTCAAAATTCTCCAAGCCAGGCTTTAACTATAGATGAACGTGAACTTCCACATGTTCAAGCTGGTTTTAGAAAAGGCAGAGAAACCAGAGATCAAATTGCCAACATCTGCTGAATAATCAAAAAAGCAAGAGAGTTCCAGAAAAACATCTACTTCTGCTTTATTGACTATGCCAAAGGCTTTGACTGTGTGGATCACAATAAACTGTGGAAAATTCTGAAAGAGATGGGAATACCAGACCACCTGACCTGCCTGTTGATAAACCTGTATGCAGGTCAGGAAGCAACAGTTAGAACTGGACATGAAACAACAGACTGGTTCCAAATAGGAAAAGGAGTACTTCAAGGCTGTATATTGTCACCCTGCTTATTTAACTTATATGCAGAGTACATCATGAGAAACGCTGGGCTGGAAGAAGCACAAGCTGGAACCAGGATTGCTGGGAGAAATATCAACAACCTCAGATATGCAGATGATACCACCCTTATGGCAGAAAGTGAAGAAGAACTAAAGAGCCTCTTGATGAAAGTGAAAGATGAGAGTGAAAAAGTTGGCTTAAATCTCAACATTCAGAAAACTAAGATCAGGGCATCCGCTCCCATCACTTCATGGCAAATAGATAGGGAAACAGTGGAAACAGTGACAGACTTTATTTTGGGGGGCTCCAAAATCACTGCAGATGGTGACTGCAGCCATGAAATTAAAAGATACTTACTTGGCAGGAAAGTTGTGACCAACCTAGACAGCATATTAAAAAGCAGAGACATTACTTTGCTGACAAAGGTTCGTCTAGTCAAGACTATGGTTTTTCCACTAGTCATGTATGGATGTGAGAGTTGGACTATAAAGAAAGCTGAGTGCTGAAGAATTGATGCTTTCAAATTGTGGTGTTGGAGAAGACTCTTGAGAGTTCCTTGGACTGCAAGGAGATCCAACTAGTCCATCCTAAAGGAAATCAGTCCTGAATATTCATTGGAAGGACTGATGTTGAAGCTGAAACTCCAATACTTTGGCCACCTGATGTGAAGGGCTGACTCATTATAAAAGACCCTGATGCTGGGAAAGATTGAAGTTGGGAGAAGAAGGGGACGACAGAGGATGAGATGGTTGGATGGCATCACCGACTCAATGGGCCAGAGTTTGGGTAAACTCTGGGAGTTGGTGATGGACAGGGAGGCCTGGTGTGCTGTGGTCCAGGGAGTCGCAAAGAGTCAGACACAAATGAGCAACTGAACTGAACTGAGAGCCTGTAGGCCTGCCATAGAGACTGTGGACTCCAGGACTGGTCTGCCTCAGGCCAAACTACAGGGAGGAAACACAGCCCCACCCATCAGCAGAAAACTGGATTAAAGATTTACTGAGCATGGCCCTGCTTACCAGAGCAAGACCCAGTTTTCCCCACAGCCAGTCTCTTCCATCAGGAAACTTGAAAAAGCCTCTTATCCTCATTCATCAGAGGGCAGACAGACTGAAAGAATTTTATTAAAATGCTATAAAATAGTTTAGGGAAGAATGGTGCTCATAGAATAGAATTGATTCTATTCATTTTGTCATTCCAGCCTTGAGCAGAGTGTGTCTCTATGTCTATCGAAGACTTTTTTAACGTCTCTAAGTTGTTCTGTACTTTTCCATCTCTCTTTCAGGATTTCTCCACCTGGTTGTTCCTAGGGTCACTTGCTCCATCACGCACAGCAGGTATTTGTCCAGCCCCGGCATGTGGCAGATGGCCACTCCTCTGTGGGCAGTGGGCAGCGTTGGGAGGCTGTTAGCAGGGGAGGGACATGATCCCACTGGGATTCTGGATTGTTCTGGGGGAGGGGCCATGTGGAGGTCAGATTGGATGGCCAGCTGAGGCTAAGGCCCCTCCCCACTGTGTGGCCCACTCACAGCAGAGCCCCTTGCACATCCCCAGCCACGTGTGGTGAACCAGAAGGTACAGGAGACCCACCACCAGGCGCTGTGTGCTGCAGACTGAGAGGAGGAAAGGCGGCCCCCTCCCCAGCCCCCTTCCAGGCCTTGCGAGTGTGGCACCCCACCCCAGCTGGGTGGCTCTGATGTTCCCACTCGCCCACCCCTCTTCCAGGGCCGGGTGCCCTGCTCACGGCTCCAACCCGTGGTCCCTCTGGGCTTGAGTGAGGGCAGGAAGGACACGCTGGGCTGGGCTCAGAGTGGGCTCTGCTTGGGTTCATTCCCCTCGCTGCTGATGGCCGGGCAAAAGTTCCCAGGGAGAAGGGTGCAGGGTGGACAGGTGCCTGGCTGCTGACACCATGAAATTGGCAGTGTTTGGAAGGATTTCTGAGCAGTGAATAGGGTGCTGGGTCCTCCTGGCCCGGCCGTGTACACCCCCGGCTCTAAGGCAGACGAGCAGTGCTTCCCAGGTGCAGGGGCCCTACCACCTGGACCTGGGTTGTGGAGTCCTCACTGTGACCTCCTTGGAGCCGCCATCTCCCCCGGCCACAGCTGGTCCAGCAGCCAGAGTGTGTCCTTATGTCCTGGGCCAAGAATGGCCAGCACCCTGCACCTTCATCTGGGTCCCGAGACCTGGGGGTGCCGCGTCCGCTCACAGAGCAGGTGCCCCTGCCAGTGTGCCCCAGGCCCACCTCCTCAGTCTTCCCATGCTCTCCGCAGCTCCCAGCCTCCCGGTAACAGACCCCAGGTCCAGACGAGCATTCTGAGCAAGATGCTGACCCATCCAGGGCCGCCACTGAGGGAAAGGAGAAGCAAGGGTGTGACCTCCTGCGACACCCCCATCACTGCCTGGGGTCCTGGTTATGCTTTCCCGAGGTCACACTGGAGTTTCTGCCCCGCAGCCCCAAGCCTAGCGACTTAACACTAAGCACCAGCAGCTCCTTCTGCGACCAGGACCCTGGACACCGCTCAGCCGGCGTCTCTGGCTCGGGATGGCTCCTGAGGCTGTGGTTGAGTTGTCAGCAGGGCTGTGGTCTCCCCAAAGGCTCCGCTGGACATGGTCCACCTTCAGGCTCAGTCAGGTGGTCACCACCCAGACACGGGTCCTGGCCAACTGTCCGTCCTTCCTTCCCCTGCTGGACAGCTCACTGCAGGGCAGGCAGCTTCCCTAGAAAATCAAGCATCAGAGCTCCAGCGGGCAGGACAGGAGCTGGAGTCCTTCACACTTCCTCTTGGAAGGGCCATCCCATTCCTTGCACTGTCCTTTCTTTTTTAGAAGCAACTCATGGGCCTGCTTCACTTAGGGCAGGAATGACCCAAGACTAATGGGGTGGAGCTATTGGGGGCCACCCCAAAACTGCTTTCCTAGCAGCCTCATAGAGCTGGTGCTCCCCAGCCATGAGCCCCAGGGTTCCAGTGACACCTCTGCCTTGAGGGAGACAGACACGGCCCCCCGTCTTGCTGGCACGGAGACCTCATCATCCCTCGAGCCCCCAACCTGCTGCCTGGGAAAGGCTGTTTGATGAGAGGCTGAACGGGTTCCAGAGCTCGGTCCTCATTACAGTGCAGCAGAAGGTGTGAAGATTTTCAATTTTCCTTTTAATCAGGAGGCGTCCACTGGGGAAACCTGCCAGGTCATCCTGAAGAGTTCTTGACAAGTCCAAGGTCCCGAGGAGACTTAATTAAACCTGTGAAAATGGCGGGGCCACCCCGGGGATGGGGACCGGTCCAGCAGCTGGCAGCCACTCGGGTGCAGACATGCCTCAACTTGCCCGTCCCAAGCCTGCGCACACCTCGCCTGCCGGTCCTGTCCTTGGACCCAAGCCCGTTTCCTCCTCACAGCCCCGTGCCACCCCCACCCTCGCTGAGCCGCTGACCCTCCCTTGAGCCCCATCCCACTGCTCCCAGGCGGGGCAGCCGCCCCACTGGACACATCGTCTGGGTCTGCCCACTTGGGTCTCCTCTGGAGTCCCAGCGCGCTGTGCCAGGGGTCTTGCTCCCGGGCCAAGGCAGAGTTCAGGTTTAGGATGCAGCGGGGTGCATAGGGCAGGTAATGCAGAGGGCAGGTGACCCGCTGGCTCGCCAGGGCAGAAGCAGCCCAGGGGGCAGAGCTGGGTGAGGGGTGCACACGCCAGGCTGGCAGAGGAAGAGACGAGGGAGTGTGCTGCAAGGGCTGACATACACACATACTACTGTGTGAAGAATAGATAACCGGGATAGAGGACGGGATGGGGGTGGGGCAGCCCCGGCAGAGGTGCTTGGGCAGGAAGGGGTGACTGCCCGGGGCTCCTGGTGCCATTTCCCACGGCACGTCAGACCCAAACCCAGTCACAGCACTGGGACTCCTGAGTCACCAGAGAAGTCCTTTGAGTTGTCCCCAGCGAACTGCACTCCTGAGGGGCGAGGAAGAGAGAGAAATCCCAGCCTTTTCTGTGCATGCCCCCTCCCCCCGCTGCCTGGCTGGCAGGAGCTGAAATTGCTGCTGTCCCTGTGACTGAAGAGCTCAGGGCTCCCCTGGCACGTGGCCAGAGTAGGACACGCGGGCCAGGCTGGATGACCCGCTGGGAGGGGCACGGATGCCCAGGTCGTGCTCTCAGCACCCCCAAGCTCCCTGACTCCCGAGCAGCTGCATCCCTGAATCCCGCCTTGGGACCTTGGACCAGTGCCCAGGGTCACCACAGACCTGAGCCCCAAATGTGTGCTGGAACTCTATGCCCAACTCTTGTCCACACCCACTGTGAGAAAACTGGAAACAGCACACCGTGAAAACCACATCTGTTTCTGGGGAGGCCCCTGGTTGGAGGAAGCAAAGTCTCCACTTCCTGGAGGACAGAACCTGCTCCAGGAGGGCCGCTCAGCTGAGGCTGTGACCAGAACCCACTGGGATTAGGACCCGCCCAGTCCCGTCCCTCCTCCCAGGAGGCTGCAAGTCAACATAGACAGGTGAGCCGCCTTTCCATCTCCTGGAAATAGCCAGTTGGAAGTTGAAATTTAACAAAAACCATTTATAATAGCATCACAAAATGTGGAATGTTTAGGGACAGATCTGATATGGTGCAAAACCCGCTCTCTGAAAACCCTGAACACTGCTGAGAGAAATGAAAGAACTGCGAAACGGAGTCACGTTTCATGTTCCTGGGCCAGGGGACTCAGGGTGGTCAAGATCCCACGTCCCTCCTTCTGATCCATACCATCAGTGCAATTCCCGTCGGAAATCCTGGCAAGATCTTCTGAAGAAAATGCCAAGTCTAAGATTTGTATGGAATTGTGGGGGAATTACAGGAGGCAAAACAAAGGGAGAGGCTCACACTGCCTGGTCTCAAGCCTCATCAAGCTGCTGTAACTGAGACGCTGTGATGTGGGCACAAAGATGGATAGGTCAGTGCTCCAGGACAGGGCTTCTGAAAGTAGACCCACATTCATGTGGGCAACTGACTTCCAACCAAGGTCCAGAGGTCATTCAATGGTGAAAGGGAAGTTTTCACAAATGATCCTGGAATAATTGGACATCCATTTGAAAAGAAATATCTCTATCAGGGGGAGGGTCACTGGGGGCACAGGAAATTTTTAGTGGGGGTGGATGGGCATGTCCCTGTCTTGATTGTGGTGATGATCTTACAAGTTATACATGTAAAAAAACTGTCAAGTTATACTCTTAATATGTGCTTGAAAGTGAAAGTGAAAGCCACTAAGTCGTGTCTGAGTCTGCAGTCCCATAGATTATACAGTCCATGGAATTCTCCAGGCCAGAATACTGGAGTGGGTAGTCTTTCCCCTCTCCAGGTAGTCTTCCCAAACCAAGGATTGAACCTAGGTCTCCCGCATTGCAGGTGGATTCTTTACCAGCTGAGCCACAAGAGAAGCTTCAGTTTAGTTCAGTTCAGTCCCTCTGTCGTGTCTGACTCTTTGTGACCCCATGGACTGCAGCATACCAGGCCTCCCTGTCCATCACCAGCTCCCAGAGTTTACCCAAACTCATGTCCACTGAGTCCATCCAACCATCCCATGCTCTGTCATTCCCTTCTCCTCCTGCCTTCAATCTTTCCCAGCATTAGGGTCTTTTCAAATGAGTCAGTTCTTTGCATCAGTGGCCGAAGTATTGGAGTTTCAGCCTCAGTGTCAGTCCTTCCAATGAATATTCAGGACTGATCTCCTTTAGGATGGACTGGTTGGATCTCCTTGCAGTCCAAGGGACGCTCAAGAGTCTTCTCCAACACCATGGTTCAAAAGTATCAATTCTTCAGTGCTCAGCTTTCTTTATAGTCCAACTCTCACATCCACACATGACTACCTGAAAAACCATAGCTTTGACTAATGGACTTTTGTTGGCAAAGTCATGTCTCTACTTTTTAATATGCTGTCTAGGTTGGTCTATCTGTCTAGCTTTTCTTCCAAGGAGCCACTGTCTTTTAGTTTCATGACTGCAGTTACCATCTGCAGTGATTTTGGAGCCCAAGGAAATAAAGTCTGTCACTGTTTCCATTGTTTCCTCATCTATTTGCCAGAAGCTTATTTTATGTTAAAAGTTGCCCTTAAGACCCTATGTGACAATCGAAAAATGGGCAGAAGAACTGAACAGAAATTTCTCCAAGGACAATACACAGGGGGCATGTGAAGAGATGCTGCACATCACTATTGTGTTCCTGCTCAGTCATTCAGTCACTCGGCTGTGTCTGGCTCTGCAACCCCACCTCGCCCAAGGACTGTAGCCCACCAGGCGCCTCTGTCCATGGATTGTCCAGGCAAGAATACTGGAGTCCGTAGCCATTTCCTCCTCCAGGGGATCTTCCCAACCCAGTGATTGAACCCTCATCTCCAGTGTCTCCTTGTGGCAGGCAGATTCTTTACCACTGAGCCACCAGGGAAGCCCTCACTAATTATTAGAGAAATGCAAATCAGAACCACAATTAGGCTTCACCTCACACAGGTCCGAAAGAACATCATTAAAAAGTCTATAAATAACAAATGTAGAAGAGAATGTAGAGAAAAGGGAACCCTCCTACACTGTTGGTGAGAATGTATGGAAAACTGTGTGCAGGTTCCTTAGATAGCAAAAAATAGAATTACCACATGATCCAGCAATCCCACTCTAGGGCATATATCCAGACAAAACTACAATTCAAAAAGATACATGCACCCCTATGTTCATTACCGCACTGTTTACAACAGCCAAAATGAAACATGGAAACAACTAAAATATCCATCGACAGATGAATGGATAAAGATGTGGTACATGTATATAATAGAATACTACTTGGTCATAAAATAGAATGAAATAATGCCATTTGCAGCAGCATGGATGCAACTAAAAATGATCATATTAAGTGAAGTAAGTCAGAAAGAGAAAGACAAATATATGATATCACTTATACTTGTAATCTAAAATATTAGATGAACAGATGAACTTAAGTACAATACAGAAGCTGACTCAGAGACAGAGAGCAGACTTGTGATTGCCAAGGTTGGGGGTGCGGAGGACAGTGATGGACGGAGAGTCTGGGATTAGCAGAGACAAACTATTACATTTAAAATAAATACACAACATGGTACTACTATATAGCACAGGGAACTACTAGCCTCAGTACCAACTTCTGCATGCTCTGGTACTAAAGTAATTGTGGTTTTGTACTGTCGAACTTTGCTGTTTGATACTGGAATACATTCTTAAATATAGCTATGTTACATATCATTTTAATGTGCATTTCCAGCTTTATGTATTTTTGCTAATGACATTACTTGCTATTTACTTTATGTTTGTTTTAGACTGGGAAATGATGTTAGACTAAAAGCAAATTCAAGTGATTTTCTTATTTGACTTCAAAATGGGTGGTAAAGCAGCAGAGACAACTCACAACATCAACAACATGTTTGGCCCAGGACCTGCTGATGAACGTACAGTGCAGTGGTGGTTCGAGAAGTTTTGCAAAAGAGATGAGAGCCTTCAAGATGAGGAGCCCAGTAGTCAGCCATGGGAAGTTGTCAACGACCAACTGAGAGCTGTCATCGAAGCCGATCTTCTTATATCTACACAAGACTTTGCCAAAGATCTTAGTGTCAACCATTCTACGGTCATTCGGCATTTGAAGCAAATTGGAAAGGTGAAAAAGCTCAATAAGTGGATGCCTCATGAGCTGACCGCAAGTCAAAAATATCATCATTTTGAAGTGTCATATTCTCTTAATCTACTCAATAACAACAAATCATTTCTCAATTGGATTGTGATGTGTGATGAAAGTGGATTTTATAAGACAGCTGACGGTGACCAGTTCAGTGATTGGACTGAAAAGAAGCTCCAAAGCACTTCCCAAAGCCAAACTTGCACCAAAACAAAAGTCGTTGCCAGTGTGGTGGTCTGCTGCTGCTCTGATCCACCACAGTTTTGTGAGTCCCAGCGAAACCATCACATCTGAGAAGTATGCTCAGCAAATTGATGAGACGCACCAAAAACTGCAACGTCTGCCGTCGGCATCGGTCCACAGAAAAGGCTCAGTTCTTCTCCATGGCAACACCTGACCACATGTCACACAACCTATGCTTCAACAGTTGAATGAAATGGGCTGGGAAGTTTTCTCTCATCCGCTATGTTCACCTGATCTGTCGCCAACCAACTATCACTTCTTTAAGCATCCTGACAACCTTTCACAGGGGAAATGCTTCCACAAGCAGAGGGATGCAGAAAACACTTTCTAAGAGTTCATTGAATCATGAAGCATGGATTTTTATGCTACAGGAATAAACAAACTTAGATCTTGTTGGCAAAAATGTGTTGATTGAAATGGTTCCTATTTTGATTAATAATGATGTGCCTGAGCCTATTTATAATGGTTTAAAATTCATGGTCCAAAACTACAAATATTTTTTTCACTAACCTAATAC